TTTCTCAAGAAGGAATGGATTCCATCTCGTATAATAACATTCACAGCTGCCTATTTCATTATGTCTCCAAAATACAAGGAATAGGATTCAGAGTCTCAGAATCCGTACCGAGTAAATTAAAAGACATAAATCCATAAATAGGAGTTTGTTAAGAACTCAGAATTAAGATCATTCTATATATGACAATCGGTAGACTCAATCAGAATTTCTATGCTTAACGGAAATTATTAGAAATTTATATTGTGTCTGTGTCCTTGTTCCACATAATCTTATTATGCGAAATACACTCATTCAATATCTCACCATATTAACAGTGCGGATAACACCGTTCCATTCTAAATGGGAATGACATGTATTAATAATGTTTTAATTAATGATTTCAAACTTTAATTAAATTCATCATGAACAATGTTTTTGATTATTATCCTTAAACACTATCCTCTAGTATATAACACTTATATACTATGTTTAAGGTTACATAAACAATCACAGAATTTTCATTTGATATTCATAAACTATTCATAAATATATGCACATAAAATGATGAATAAACTCTTTTATTAATTAAATAATAAATATCCTATTACATCTCATGCTTCTAGGATACTATTCCCAACAGGCATCTCCTCCTTAGAGGGGTCGACCTCATGGTTGCCCCTTGGGGCTTTTGGCAGGTTTAAGAACCTTTTTCATGGAGGTCTCTCCTCCTTGGAGGGGTCGGCCTCATGGATGCCCCTTGGGGCTCTTGGCAGGTTTAAGAACCTTCTTTATGGAGGCATCTCCTCTTTGGAAGGGTCGGCTGCCTGGATGTCTCTCTTCCTTGGAAGGGTCGGCCGCCTCTGACGTGGTAGCGCATATTTTCCCACACAACAAATTAGATTATATATATTGATTACTCACTAATGCTCATTTTTGTTATAACTACATATTGTAAATAAAAAAATGAAAAAAAATTAATTATTATAAATTTAATGTTTCTAAACCCAGGAAGAAATTGTGTTTTTTTAAGTTAAACAAGTATTTCTTAATAACAAACAAAATTATACATATTTAAATTTCATATTATGTCTATTTTGATCATCTTAACTACTCATAGCAATTAAACCTCACCATTCACCAAACGCTATTATACTTCTTTTGGAACCAGCAACACTTGTATAATTACAGTTACCAAACACTCAGTTATTTTTTGTAACAGCTGTATTTTTTTCAGCACAACTAACAATAATTTTTTTAAAATCTACAACACTACCAAATTGCCCATAATGGAACCAATATTCCAAACGGGTTACTGCTAAGCGTCCTTTTTTTGGGATCATTTCATATCTTAAAATTATTAAAAAATTAACATTAATTAGTTGTGGAATTTCAATCAAGAACATAAAATAACATTCACAAAATTATTTTTCTCAATTGAAAAGAAAAAAAAATAATGAGAGATGAAAAGGGAATTCCCTCATTTCACTGTTTTTGGTACTTTTTTTAGTACTATTATTTTAGATTTTCTACACAATGGATAACAAGTCTACATGAAACAAAAACTACTAAATGAGTCGATCAAGTAAATAGCATGGGACCAAACCGAACGATCAAGGTCATGAGTTCTCTCATTGATGTTGGTTTTCCTGATCAGTTGAATCATGGACCCCCTAATTGCTGAAACTTGAAAATGGGACAGACGAAAAATAAAATTTATAATCCAAGGAAGAAGTTACGTTAATGACTTTCATAATAGAGTTATGTTAAACACAAAAGACACATTATTTGTCTCACTTAGAAAGGCTGTGACTTTTATCCCTTTTTCATTTTTCTGTTTCTTGTATGACTACTCCTGAAAAAGAACATATAGTGGTTGGAAATTGTTGATTTGTTATTACAAAATTTCTCCATCGGATAAGTTATAATGAACAAGATAAGCTTTGAAATTTAGTAGTTGAGGGCATACGTTAGTAGAAAAGTCTTCATTCTCGGATGTCACATGATGACATATTTAATCACTAATATTCATAAAATAATATTATTATACAATTTGTTGTGAAATATGGATTCAATGATGTAAATATATTGATAGACAGATAAGATATTTAGCTTGCTAAGTATTACCAAACTTAGTTCTTAAATTTTATGTACTCATTGTGTTCCTCTTCTATTGTTGTGCAATTATATCATGTTTGCTCATACCACACTTCACAAGATCCGTATTTAATAATTTATGGTTCTCAGGCCCGTTTGACAGGGCTTTTACTTTTACTTTTAGCCAATAAAAGAAATGAAACAAAAGTTGTGGCTTTTCAGTAAGAACTGTTTGAAATCAAGAGCTTGATGGGTCATCAAAATGATTTTTAAATTTTTTAATAAACAATAAAAGTGTTGAAATTAAGTTTTTAATGTCTTAATTAAATTCCGGTACAAGTTTCAAAGTCTATTCAAAAGTATTTTTTTTTATAAGTCACATTTTCTGACTTTGAATGAAAATTTTTTTAAAATGTCAAAGTACTTCTAATATATCATCTAAACAATTTCAAAAATAATTTTTGAACCTAGAAAGCCAAAAATAGCTTTTGAAAGGCTTTCTCAAACAGACTCTAAAGATAGATTGAGGAGTTTAAATATGTGAGATCAAAATAGATTTAGTATAAAATTCAAAGACTATTTTTGAAGAAGCCAAGCAAATGTACCTTGAATATAATGTAACCACTATGTTCAAAACGGGACAAATTTCTGCTGGCTATTGCAATGTCATGATTTAAGCAATTTTTTTTCTTGTTCTTTTTTTTTTTCTTTCAATTTGGCCCGTCGTTGTCACTTGTCTACGACAAAGAAACACAAAACGGCGTCTCATTCCCTCGTCTTAGAAATCCACTGTTTCTTTAGTCCGACGAACAACGACAAATTAATTATAAAAAAAAAAAAAACAATAACAACAACAACGACAAATTACAATGCCAACGCTAGATCCCACTCACTAGTCAAAATAACTCCCTCCATAGAAAAAAAAACAGAAAAAGAAGTCCCTAAAAAGATATACCAAAACGCTTGGCTGAGGAGCTCTCACTTGTTTTTTCTTCATGGTGCTCTGAGAAAGAAATATGGTCTTCTTGTATTCAATATTCACAAGGAAGATGAAGGGACATTATTGATATGTCCAAGTAATAACAATGGCTTCGCTTTGTATGAATTCTCTGCCTCTGCCACCGTCTTCTCAGCCTCGCAGAGTCTTGGAAACTTCACTTTCCTCGGTGAATATCACTAGTAGTAGTAACGGTCATCTGACAGGAGAAACCTTGAAGCCCATCGTCGTTTGTGGGAGCCCCCCAACTTTTGTGTCTGCTCCTGGTCATAGAATTGTTGCCGGTTAGTGTTTATAGACCAAAGTTTAGCAATACCCATGTTTCAGATTTTTAAACATTAACTTTGACATTTCTGTTTTTGAGCTTTTTAGCAGTTTGTTGTTATTGTTTTGGTTATTTCCAAAACTCCTCCGTAAGTTAAAGTCAATAGCTTTTGATTATAGGTTGTTGTTGCTTTTTTTTTTTTTTCTTTTTTTAATTGTACAGTTGGTGATTTACATGGAGACCTTGACCAAGCAAGATGTGCACTTGAGATTGCTGGAGTGTTGAGTTCCGATGGTCAGGACTCGTGGACTGGTGGAGAAACGGTATTGCATAGTGATTTCAATCTAGTTTTTGTTTGCGCACAGGAAACTCTTCATCTATATATGCCTTGGATTAATAGAAAGAAAAGAACTCATTTTTAGTTCCCGAAGTGTAGGCTAAATTCTATTTTGGTGTATACTTTTAAAAGGAAACAGTCCAAACAAATTGCTCCAATTTTGTTATGCTATCCATCCGAATTTGTTAAAATTTTACTGGAAAAGGGCGTGCCTTCCCCCCATAACAATCGTGCCCACTGTACATGTAAAGTTACAAAATTAACTCTTACTAAGTAGTGCATGGCCCTCATGTGCTTTTCTTAACAGTGAGATAGACAGATGGAAAGGCTAAGAAGAGCCAATTTGATAGATCGGAGATTCGTCCTAAGACAGTTTAAAAGTGAGCAAAATGGTGTTGGACCAATAGCTCGAGGTCTATAAATGAGATTAACTGAAAAGAAAAGACAAGTCTCTTATCTTGCGTGTGGAATTACTTAACTGTCCTTGTGATCTAGGTGCTGGTTCAGCTGGGAGATATACTTGATAGAGGTGACGATGAAATAGCTATTTTGTCCTTGTTACGGTCTTTGGATATGCAGGCCAAAGCTCAAGGTGGAGCAGTTTTTCAGGTCAGTGCTGCTAAAACTGAAAATATGTGACGCTCTAGTTGCTTGCTATGAATAATTTGGTGTCTGATTTTACCTGAGAAGCATATAGCTACAGAATTCAGAAATTATAATTAAGACGACAATTTACTGCACAGTAGTTTGCATCAAATTGAAATTGAGAAACTGTTCAAAAGGTTTTATATGAAGTTTGAACTATGTGTAATGTATATGTTATTTCCTAATGGTTTAGGTCAATGGGAATCATGAGACCATGAATGTGGAAGGGGATTTTAGATATGTAGATCATGGGGCTTATGACGAGTGTAGCGATTTCCTCGAATACTTAAACAGCTATAGAGATGACTGGGAAGATGGTTTTGTTAATTGGGTTGATGTCTCTGAAAGGTGGAAACGCGAACGCAAAATGTCCCACAATCATTGGGGTCCCTGGAATCTAGTGAAGGTACTCACATTAATTTTTTGTTTAATGAAAATCATTGTCTGACATGCTTGTATGAACTAAAAAATCATTGTCTCTCTGCTAAATCTAAGTTCCCAACATTTTCTGAGAAGAGCCGCTCTTAATTTTTTTCACTTCCAATGTCAATATCTTGGTATTCTTCTGATTAAGTTTTCCAAACATTAGGACAGAGACAAAAGGGGGTCATTGCCAGATCAATCCTTTTTAGGCCGGGAGGTAAATTGGCATGCGAGTTAGCGCGACATTCTGTTGTTCTTAAGGTTAATGATTGGGTCTTTTGTCATGGCGGCCTTCTTCCTCACCATGGTAAGCACGGTTCTGCAATTTGGATATAATGATCTTTGCATGCATTCATAAGAATAAACATTCATATAAATTGCGAGTTCGAACTTTGCGTGCCTGATAAGAGTATTGGTTTTTCCGCAGTTGCATATGGCATAGATAGGATGAACAGGGAAGTATCTCTCTGGATGAGAGGTCTCAGTGAAACAGAAGATGGTCCTCCCATGCCTTTTCTAGCTACTAGGGGATATGACAGCGTTGTTTGGAACCGCTTGTACTCAAGAGATACTTCAGATTTAGAGGACTATCAACTTGAGCGGGCAAGTATTAGCAGTGTATCATCTTCCTTTCTTGCCATGGCTGATTTTTAGTGGAGTAAATTATCAATGAATGCATGAATTTAAAAAAAAAATGATAAACGCGATAAAACTTGGATCTTTTAAGGAACTTGATATTTTGAGAATGCGAGACTTTCTAGTTCACTATCTGATGAATTTTCTCTCTTCTGCTTATGACATTCTTGAGTTTTTTGGCTTTACAGATAAATTCTATTCTCGAAGAGACCCTCCAAGCCATTGATGCGAAGGCAATGGTGGTAGGGCACACTCCTCAAACCACAGGAGCAAATTGGTATGAGGCCGTATCTTTTTGCTAGGCTCCATTATCAGCACACAGAATGTTATGAATTACTTTATGTTTGGCCGTACTCTTAAACCACTGAGGTTCTTATGTTATGAATTCTTCCCCTGCAGTAAATACAATTGTAGCATATGGCGCATTGACGTGGGCATGTCTAGTGGTGTTCTTAATTCAAGACCAGAGGTAACATGAAAATTCCGGGTGCCTGAATTTTAGAAATCCTTGAGGCTTGGCCATAGAAAAAGTCCTAGAGCATTTTCTTTGTCAACTCAAAGACCTTCAAGTGCACTTGCAATGTGACTGTTTTCCAGGTTCTAGAAATAAGAAACAATAGAGCACGAGTTATAAGGAGCAAGAGGAATTCATTTAGTGAACTTGATTATACATAGAGATGGATTGTTTGATTAGCCAGGTATATTCTCCATTGTATCAATTGTGTCAAATAATTTTGTATTATGAAGAACTAGACTGCTTTAACTATCTTTGATACTTCTTAGGATGCGCTGGCGACGCCATTTACTTGTTCGATTTTCGATCAGTGGCTTTCATACAGAAAAAAAAGAGGGCTAAGATTTAAGATGAATAGAGTGGCAGAGCAGTCCAAGCATCAAACTTTGGTATGGAATCAAGTATTTTGGGGCATGTTTAAGAAAGTGATTGTCTTTACCATCACACCATGCCAATAAGTTTTTCTATTTTCATTTTTAATCAGTTTTGGATTAGATATACCAGTTGTAACTTCTTCTAAATTGTATTTTTCTTTCTTGGGAATGTCTTTTGAGTTGTGTTGATAGTGTAAGGAAAAATCTGAAGACAAAACACAAATGGAAGGTCTGTAAAGCTTAGAACTATAATTGTTGATTGGGATTCCGTAACTTGTTTTTCATTTTTGTCTAAGCGAAGTGATGCATAGAAAAATCCTTAGTTACGGAAATATACAAGTACACATACGTATTGAGACCTATTTGTGGCCACATTTAGAGAGCAAAACCTGAGCTAAATTCATATATATATTTTTTATCCAACATGTATTATGATTATAATGACTGATGATGTTAGGAGACGATAAGAAAATTAATAGCAAGGTTAGAAAATGAAAGGCAATGCCGAAAGTTTTTGAGGAAATCAGTATTTCTTATGCCAATATGTGATATTGACGGGTAAAAATGACTAATTTCGGAGAAACCGACTCTCTAAATTGAGATTTGATTATAAAAGATTAAACCAACCACCAATAAATCAAATAAAGATCAAAGTAAAAAGAGGACACGAGAATTTAGGGTGGTTCGGCTCAATATAACCTACGCTCACTATAGTTGGTGAGTTTTTCATTAAATTTCTTAGATTTACTCGAACTCTCTCTTATATGTTCTCTTAACATTCAAAGTAAGTAAGGAAAAAAAATGTAAAGTCTCATAGTTGGTGAGTTTTTCATTGAATTTTTTAGATTACATACTCGAACTCTCTCTTATATGTTCTCTTAACATCCAAGGTAAGTAAGGAAAAAAATGTAAAGTCTATGAGAGCAAGAGTCCGAATCCCTACTTCAACCTATCCTCCTATTATTTATAGGAGTCTTCCCATGATAATAACGATCGTTCGTGGTTCGCCACACGTCCTCTCTTTTCGGTTCTGCCTCCTCCTATCTTGAAGTCGTGGGTCTCGTATCTGAAAGCTTAGGAGCGTGGGTAGTTACCCGGGATCGTGGGTCTTACATCTCATAGATTAGGAACGTAGGTGGTAACTCGAGATCATGGGTCTTACACCTAGTAGTTTGGGAACATGAGCGGTTACTCGAGATCGAGGGTCTTGGCCGGTTGATATCGTGGGCTTCTTCTCTTCGAATGTGGAAATGAGGCGGGAACTTAGACTTGACTCAACTTGCTTGCCTCAACTTTCCTAGTTAGGATCGCTCATGTCACTTACCTAACAGAAGTTGCCCTTGAGATTGTAACGACCCTGCTTACATGGCTATTACTTAACTACATAATTTTGAATTTAACATAAAATACTGAGGTTTGCAGAATAATTTTTTTCTTTTTCTAAATCAAAATAATAGTTTCTTAAAACGAAATAAAAATTTCGTAAAACTTATTAGTCATAATTTCATAAAACATTTCATACCTTAATTTAAAACCTTTTAAAATGATTCTAAATTAGATATAATTAACATTCGTATTTCAAATATTCTTTAAAATCTTTCTAAAACTAATCATTAAATTTTCCTTATTTGGAATTTCATATTTTTGTTGCACAAACTGCTGCAACATTTTTAAAACTTAAAGTTTTATAGACTAAGATTGTATAATTACAACATTGGTCTTCTATAATATACATACGTACGTACATACTTGAAAACTAGTATTTCGTAAATACATATTATTTTCAACCTGTTGCGGAAGATTTATTTGCCGGTGGTATCCATTCCCATCTCCACATTTCGTCCGCCGCTCGCCACTGCCCATCAAGTGTCACTGACAGGTTTCTTACCTACAGCATAACATAACTGAATGAGCTTTCGCTCAGCAAGTAGGAAATTCATACTCGCAAAACATAACTTAAAACATTTCTTAAAATATGCATGAGCTAATTATGCTTCATTATGAACATATCATAAATATCTAACTAAACTCATCTTACTAAACTGATGGCCCGAGTGTTCGTACCAATTGCGCGCAATCATCGAGAAGTTAGGGTTTGTAAGGTCCCCAACGACACCATGATCTCATTTACTATACTGAATAGGTCTCCCTCGCAGAGGTATAGTAACCGGTCTCCCTCGCAGAGTCTCGATTAACTCCCTCATAGAGGTTGGTACGACACTCTTAATTGAACTTATTTGTTTTACTTGTTTTATTGTGTGTATGCAGTATGACGTGTTACTACATAACATTACATTCACGAACATACTTATACTGAACGTAAGATGAGTACGCAAAAATAATTTACTATTACATAACATATAACATACTGAGTCATAGACATGGCATTTCTCAACAAAGCATATCCTGACGTAACATGGCATAACACTGATCATGCATCTTCATAGTTTTTACAAATCATGTGAAAACGCTTTATTTTGAAAACCGTAGTTTTCATGCTGTAGGCGAGATTCCTACTTACCCAGTTTCTAAAAATAGGATATGCTAACTCGCCATGTACTTATCTATTATTGATAATTTATGTAGAAAATACCTATTAAGAGTGTAAGATTAACTTATCTTATGCTATCGAATTTTAGCATAATCGTAAAGGAATTTAATCCTTTGGTAGAACATATTTTCCTTTACAAAAGGATGTTAAAAATCATAATTCATATTACAAGGATTAATTAATTAAATCCTCATAATTTGATTTTTCTTAATTACCCTTACTTATACGTGCTAAGGTTGATAATTAATCAATTTAAATAATTAATTAATTGTTTTATCCATATACTTAGTCTAAAAGATTAACTTCTTTATCCATAGGCTATTACATTTATGGGAAATAGTAGGAAATATGCCAATATGAAAATCTTAAGAAAGTATATAGGCAAATTTTAGTTATAGAAATTAATAGACCATAACTTGTCAAGTTATGGTTTATAACCAGATAAGTTATGGACGCAAACAGTAATTTAGCATATTTATTAACTTATGTAAACTATTTACCTATTAATTTTAATTCATCTCAAGTCTTGGTCTATTTTCCTCTTTCTCCCTACATTTATTTAGACTCATAACTGTGTTAAGGCCCAATTGGTTTTGAAATGATCTTAAGACGCTTGAACTCCTACATCGTCGTAACTTAGGCCTGAGAGGAGCTTCCGAACTAGTATAGGTGCTGTGCTTGTATCTATTGTTGAAATACTTATGGGTCTAGCGTTTCGGTTTTAACAAATTCCCGTTTGGAAATTTATTTGAAAGCCGTTAAAGTTTACTGGAAAACCGTTTTCTTATAAATGAAATTTCCATATTTAAAATGGCGTCTGAATTTGGTTAAATAGTAAGCTGTACGCTCTTATTTTCTTTATTGATTATACTAGAACTTTTGTTGCTAAACAGGTATTTTGCTTGAAAACTTGTACTGTGAAGTACTTATTGTTTAATTTATAAAATTACCGTAAAACCATATTTTAGAAACAATTTTCTTGAAAATTTCTTTCCCAAACATTTTTTGTTTAAACCGGATCTAACATTTGTATTCTATAAAAATTGAGACTCCGACTTTTCTGGAGTTGGTTTCCTCTTAACCAAAACATTGTTAAACTAAACGATTAAAATACACAGTTTTCTAATCTAATGTTAACTGTATTTTAGAGGCGGATTTTCAAATTTTGTCCTTCACGAAATTTCTTTGTCTCATCGAAATTTAAAAACTTCGTGTTTCACAAAAACTGAGATTTAGTATCAAAACGACCCGTTTAGGCTTAAACAGTGGCTGTCCTTTCTTCTTCTTCTTTTTATTTTTATTTTTTATTTATTTTTTGTACAGTTTTGAAAAACGGCTCGGAAACGCGTCTTAGAATCGAAACTACGTTTTTTCTTAGTCACAAAGATTTTTCCGGGGCGCCAAGATCTAAAAACTCCGTTCTTTACGGAACCTGAGATTAGGCCTCAGAGGTTCGAAAACGCTAAAAACAGTGACTGGTCCTAAGTGACAGTTTCTGGACATAAAATTTTCAATTTCTACACAGTTTTGAAAAATGGTTTGGAAACTCGATGTAGAGTCAAAACTGCATGTTTTTCCTGTCACGGTGATTTGTCTGTATTGTTAAGATCTATAAGACTCGTGTCCGCGAGAAACTCCAAAATCAACCTCTAAAGTCCGTTTTTTGAGCTCAAAGTGAGCTGAAATTTTTTTCTCAAACATACTTCATGAAAACCTAAACTAATCCATGCTTAACGTACATACACCATAACATCAAACTCAAGGGAACCATAATAAACATCAACATAGACTTTTTACATGTCATAAACCCAAATCACCGTACACTAACCATATCCTTAACCATAACTTGATCTTAAAAAATAGAGGAGGAAAGTTAAGAGCTTATACCCTTGAAGACAATTTTGGATTGATTCCTCTTAAGGCTCGTTGATCTTCTTCTTCTTCCTATGAGGTTTGGGTAATGACTTGGTGTTTGGAATAATGTCATAGAAGCATAAGATGTAATATGATATTTATTATTTATTTAATAAAAGAATTTATTTATTATTTTATGTGCATATATTAATAATATTTTTTGAATATCAATAAAAATTTCATAATTATTTATGTAACCTTAAATATTGTATATAAGTGTTATATGCGAGAGGATAATATTTAAGGATAATAATGAAACGATGTTCGTAATGAATTTAATTAAAATTTAGAATATTTAATTAAAACATTACTAATATAGGCCATTTCCATTTAGAATGGAATGATGTTATCTACACTGTTAATATGACGAGATATTGAATAAATGTATTACGCATAATGAGATTATGTGAAACATGGACATATACACAATATGAATTTCTGATAATTTCCGTTAAGTTTAGAAATTCTAATTAAGTGTACCGATGGTCATCTATAGAATGATCTTAATCCCGAGTTCTTAAACAGATTCTTATTTATAGATTTGTGTCTTTTAATTTACTCGATACTGATTCTGAGATCCTAAATCCTATTCCTTGTATTTTGGAGACATGATGAAGTGAGTAGCCGAGAATGTTATTATACAAGATGGAATCCATTCCTTCTTGAGAAAGAAGTAGATAAATAATTCTATTGAGGGTTTATTCAGTACTTGGACTAGTAGAAGCTCTGATTCATGAATTTGTTTTATGAATCACTGTCCATTAGAGAATCAATGGTACTCAAGGATAAAGATGTAATTAGAGAGGTTAATGAATTTCACCTAGCTCTAATTATGAATTATTTATGGAGGATTGATCTATATGCAATGACTATATCAAATGGACACTTCACA